TGTGAAAGCTTATTGCAGTGTGTAAAGTCCTGATAGAGAAAGATGGCACTGAGTTTAGTAGCTTCCCAGCTGAACAGCACTGTGCAGACTTGGCAGCTGCATCCATAAAGGAAGATAATGGAAAACACATAAATCAGCCTTGAGTCACTGGCGCAGCCTTGCAGGCCCTTGCAGCATGTGACCGTGGGGTGCGCAGCCTGGTGCCACCCTTGATTCCCCAGCTATGCCTCACCAGTGAAGCCCAGTAAAAATAATCTGGAAAATCATCCAGTTTGGTTCACTTGCAAGGCAAATAAACATGACAAGGGCACTGAGAAAAGAAGGTGTGGATTCTTTAACTCCTCAAGTGTTGACTGAGGTTTAGAAACATACCTTTTACCGACCAGAATGGTTGAGCTGGTAACTTGCAGACAGAACCCAGCTTTCCACCTCTTCTACTCTGGCTTCAGACACGAGACAACAGCCCTTTTCAGCCAGGCATGAAAAGAGAAGGTGCTAGTAATGTCTTCAGGGCAGCCTCTGACACCAAACAATTTCTAATTAGCTTGCAAAAACCTGGGAATTTATATATCGCAATTTGTCTTTGTGTCCATACCACAAAACGTGGACTGGGAAGTTGGCATTTGGACTCCAGAGTTGTAAAGGCTGAACAACAGTGTAACTGCTGGAAATCTTCACTCTTTGAAGGTGCCTTAAATTAGATTAAATTATATATTACTCTGTTATACAAAGACCAGACTAAATGAGCTAATCATCTCTTCTGCCCCTCCAATCCATTACATTAATGAGCAGAAAGCTCACTGAGAAACACCAACTATTGGAGCAGTACTTACAGAAGTACAGAGACTTAAAGAAATAATGAATTTCCAAATACTTTGCTTCTTTTAAAAAAAAGTAGCAAGAAACCCAGCAACATGGTAACACTCCTGCAAAGCTGCGTAACTCGACTGCTATCTTCCCCTGGCTATAACAGCCCCCCAAGGTAAGCAAACAGAACCCAACCTTATTCTGGCTGTACGTGAGGCCCAGACCCTCAGGAGAAATCTTACAAAGTGAGTCATCTCAGCTGGGAGATGGCCTGGTTCAAACATTCACAACTTATGAGTAACTCCAAAGCAGCATTTCACAATATTCACTGGCTACAAACCTGCCTTGTTATGAGAAGTTGTTGAGGGATTAAGTGAAGATCGCTGCCTGGGGCTTTTCCATCTGCAGGCAGCAGAGGATTGATAGAGCAGGAACAGGATTACGCTGCTAAAAAGTACTCTGTCAAATTAGTGCTATGATGTGCCAGGAGAGTTTATACAAACCAGCAATCAATCCATGCCAGTGTTTGGGCCACCAAACATATTCAAAACTTCCTCCTGTTCCTTTCTTTGATGTTGTTGCACTGCGTGATTTAAAAAACACTTTGCTGACCTTGCTTACATAAGGGTAATTTCTGGATGTTGCCACAGCAGCATAGCTAATCCATACAGCTATTTCAGCGCATCGACCAGCAAGGCTGCTACTTTGGAATGAAATCATCGTTATTATCTGCAGTTAATTATCCTGCTATGTGCTTTTCTGAAGTCCAAAGAGAGAGCAAGGAAGGAGTCACCTCATCTTAGAAGAGGGGCAGAACTTAAATACGCAAAAGGAGAAAGAAGAGGAAAAGGAAGGGGATAGGGGAATACACAGATGTTAACACAAAATCACGCACAGAATGAGGTGACCTCAGGGCCTCTTTCTCCAAGTTGTTTATGGACAACTCCATTAACAGTAAATTTAAAACTTTATCATAAACCAGATCTTGCTGGATTTCGATGCTGAACTATACACGTTTAGAAAGAAACATCAAAGAGTGAGAAACTCCCGAGAGTTTTCCAGCCCCTGGTTAGGGAAGATAAAATCAAGTGCACACGTCACTGTCCTACACACATTCCGCAATGCAGTCATATAAGCTTTCACATATTTTTTGGTTTACGTGTTGCCTTGCAGTCCCATGGTCAAACAGACATCAAGGATGTCACAACCTGGCTTAAAAGATAATGGAGACAACCTCTATCTAACTCACTGCGGCAGGAATGTTAACTGCTGCCGGCTGGGCATTTAAGCAACGTAAGAACATTTCTTGTCCCATCTGAGGACTCTGCAGTTTATCGACACAACCTCATCAGTGCACCCCCACAACAGCAGCTATAAAAAGCCTTTTGATTGCAATAACGGGGGAGCCACTATGGTTCTTCTCTGTACTATGAACCCCCACGACTTGAGGGACCCATGTTACTACAGACTTAGTCCCTTAGTATACTTAAAATGTGACGCATCTTTTGGCATAGCTGGGATTGAAAGATGTTGCTAAAACGAGCTGTAAACGCAGACCCTGCCAGGAGGGCACTGCAGCCCGGTCTCGCTACCCCGTTGCCATGCACCATTTCTGCCCCAGACACAACAGGGTCTATTTTAAGCACGTCCTGGAGGGCATTTTACAGCAAAGGCTGGGTTCTTACCAGGCCACGTGCTTTGGCCATGTCCAGGAACATAACGCTGCATTTTGCAGAGGGGATGGTGAAAGCTCTATAGGACAGGGAGAGCCCAAGCCATGTGGGAAGCCAGGAGGCGCCCAGCGGGCACGGGGGACAGGCCGGGGCACCGGGGCTGCGCACCCCAGCGCACGACTGCAAGGCAGGATGAGACCAACGGTGCGGCCGCGGAGCAGAGCCCACGGGGGAAGTGCGTAAGGGCGGGCTGTGCGCTGGCAGCTCAGAAGGCCAACCGTACTCTGGGCTGCATGAGGAGAAGCGTGGCCAGCGGCGAGGGAGGGGATTCTGCCCCTCTGCTCTGCTCTGGGGAGACCTCCCCTGGAGCCCTGCGTCCGGCTCGGGAGCCCTCAGCACAAGGAGGACATGGACCTGTTGGAGCGGGGCCAGAGGGGGGCTACTAAAATGATCCGAGGGCTGGAGCCCCTCTGCTCTGAGGCCAGGCTGAGAGAGTTGGGGTTGTTGAGCCTGGAGAAGAGAAGGCTGCGGGCAGACCTTACCGTGGTCTTCCAGTACTTAAATGGAGCCTATAGGAAAGACAGGGACAAACTTTTTTGTAGGGCCATATGTGACAGGACAAGGGGTAATGGTTTTAAACTAAACTGAACAAGGAGTCTCACAGCTGCCACATGCAGACACCATCATGGGACATGGATAACCACACCATGCTAATTTTCACCACGACTGAACAAGAAAAGTAAGTGTCATTTTTTTCATAACAGTGTATAGCTTTTTTTTAATTGGAAATCCTTGTCATGAAGATCTCATACTACCTTTCCAACTTGCCTTAGTAGGTCTACAGCAACTTTTGTGTTTGTAACCTTAGATTCTACAGCAATAAAACCAGTATACAGTCATGATCCATCCACATGCAAACTGAGATCCTCTTAGCGAAATATATTGGTCTCTTGTCAAGGAAAAGATTCATTACTAAAATACTAATCTTCTCATCCCGCTGCCTCCACAGCAGTCTGAGCACAATACCACAGCATAGAACTCACAAAACAGGACAGCGTCCAGTTTTTATTCCTACGTTTCACACAAGAGTACATCTCCTACACGCAGCAGCCTAAGCATATCTTAGAGGTGCTGCTGACACCAGTGCAGACAATGTTATCCTGGCTTTTGGTGGCTCAAATTAATTCTAGGAGAAGGACATAATCTCTGAAAAGTATGCTGCAAGACGTTCAGTTCTGCATGCACAGAAAGAATTGCAAGGATAGATTTTGTAAATTAGGCAGAAGGATAAACACATTCAACACTAGAAATGAAGTCTCTAGTACTTATAAACAATAGAAGAAAATACAAGATCTATTATAGGAGACAAGGGGAGAAGCAGGAGAGATAGTGCTGAAAAATTCCATATTTTGCAACAAAAATGCCTGTGTTTTCCATGGCACAAGAGAGAGTTAGGCACAACTGTTATATAAAAGTTTTTAAATAAAAGTACAAAAGCTTGTATGTGGTCACAGCCCCACACAATACTACAGGTGTGGGGCAGAGTGGCTGGAAAGCTGCCCAGAGGAAAAGGCCCTGGGGGAAGCAGGGGGAAATGGGCTCATCTGATCGCACAGCGCGAACTTGCTTCCTGTGGTTGTCACGTATTTTCTTTTTCTGAAGGAGGGCAGAATACTAAAGTGTGCAACCATACTCACATTTTTCTTTAAAGATTTAAAAAAAAAAATCATTACTGGGCATCTGCTTTGCAAAACACTGAAGTATTAGAATCCTAGAATGGTTTGGGTGGGAAGGGACCCCCAGAGGTCACCCAGCCCAACCCCCCTGCAGGAGCAGGGACAACCTGCAC